ATGAGTCGTACATAGCGACACCCGCCCTGGGTGTCACGACGCCTTCGTCCGCCCCTGCTTATACGTAAATCCGGCACTGCCAATGGCTCATCTAGTTCAGCTTCCTGTCCTCCTGGTGAACACCTATGAGAAACCCACAAACGGGACCTGAGCTAAACTTTAAGGTAGCCTGGTCTTTATTTATTGCGCTTATTCCTGGAGGACTGCGCTTTAGGGTTGCACTGTTTAAAGTGCTTAGCTTGGGCTGCACTGGGCCCTAAGTGTTTATTGGCTGGCTCGGCAAGTGTTGCGGCCAGGTCACTAATCTCCTGTTAAACAATGCATTAAGTTCAATTGCTATAAGTGGCTGTATTTATTTCGAGTGGAGTAGTGCGAGTGCTTTTCCAAATTCTGGGGTGGGCGGAAAGAGCACTTACTCCAGCAATCTCTCTTTGAAACTGTCTAAAAGATGTGTTCTTCGCGGTGGTTTTATTGATCGGCGTTGCGTCAGAAGCTGGCCTTTAAATTTACAACGCTCTAAAATGCCTGTAATGAACAGCTTGAACTACTTTCATTGCCACCCCCTCTAGTTAGGCTAATATATCTGTACTTGGTCGAGAACTGAGCTTAGGAAGATGCTAAGATACTTTGCACGTTACTGAAGATGTTGACTAGCAGGTAGGAGAGATGTTGTGTTTTTTTCTTGGGGTGGGGTGAGTCTATGCTAGTGGTAGCCAACTTGATACTCTCCAGATGTTGGTGGACTAGCTCCCATCAGCCCCAGCCAGTGTGACCAATGATGATGAAAGTTGTAGTCCAATAACATCTGGAGGGTACCAACTTCTGAAGGGATTGTCTGGTCCTCCAACTCCCATCATCCCTGACCATTGACCTTCTTGGCTGGGAATGTTGTTGGAGTCCAGTAACATCTAGTTCCCCACTGTGATTATAGAAATAAAACCTATCATTGTTGCTTGAGCATGTACTTAAGACGTGAAATCTCCCCAAGGGGGCAACCATTGAATTGAATTTATGAAGCAATCTTAGTAGCCAAATACTATCTATAGCACCACTGGGAGATAAATTTTAAACAGTTACATAATCTGGTCACGTCCAGCCGGTTCACTGGTAACCTCAAGACTTGACTGCTGCAATGCACTCTGTGTGGGGCTGCCCTTGGAGGTGGTTCGGAAGCTGCGGTTACTGCAAAATGCTGCCGTGAGGTTGCTGCCTTGAGCTAACTGTTGTCAACATTGTACACCTTTGATGAAGCAGCTACACTGGCTGCTTATATGCCACCTGGCGGGCTTCAAGGTCTTCTTACTTGCTTACAAAGTTCTAAACAACTCTCCCCTTCAACCTCTTTGCCAAGCTATAGCCTTCTATGGTAGAGAACCTTTTGGAGGCACAAAGAGACCCTAACATTTGCCTTCTGGCCCCAAGTAATGGGGCTGTCAGTGTAGGGGGCTCTTTTAACATGAAATTCATTTAACTCTTTGTTCCAACCACCTGCAATTTCAGGTGCATGTTTAAGACCTTGGTGTTTACCCACACCTGTTCTGAATGAAATCCCAGAATTAATGGATTGATTAATAATTAAATAAAGACATGATTAAACCATTAATCATTAATTAATTCTTGCCCGCCGATCATCTTCCGATGTCATACTGTTATTCTAATCGTATTATTTTGGGTGTATGTTTTACACTTACTTTTGGTTCTCTGTACGCTCCTCTGATATTTTATAACTTTGATGGTTATCCACCCTGAGCCCAGTCTTGGCTGGGGAGGGCAGGGTATAATTAAAATTATTATTATTATTATTATTATTATTATTACTACTACTACTACTACTACTACTACTACTACTTGAGTAATATAGATATAAAGAGAGAGATGGAGAAGAGAGATGTGGGAAATAACTTGTAATTTGAGCAACCAAAACCCCCACTTACTGCTAGAGAGAAAAGCTGGATTGTTAATTTTGGCTGTGGTTTGGTTAAAGGATTTTGTGGTTTTAGAATATATATATATAGTTTGTTTTAAAATAACTATGGCTATATATTTGCAATAAAAGGAGTAACTTTGATGGGGTGTAGGGAGGAGGTCGATCAGGCTAGGTGAGGGAGGGTGAATCTCAAGAGAAAAGCCAATAAAATAAAAAGAGATGTCACCAAGCTGGCGGGGGGAGAGTGATTTATTGAGAAATTCACAGCAGCTAATTTCAGCGCCCCCTCCCACCACCCCCAGCAAATCCTTTCCCCCTCCCCTCTTCCGGCATTCCAATTCCGAAATGCCAGACTCAATAATTAACACTGACAAACCATCAATATTTCACACGCTCAGCAGTAGAGCCTTCCAGTGACCTGAGCCAATTTGAGCTGCCTTTTAATTTTCTCCCCCATTTGTGGGTTTCTTTGAAAACACTCCTTTGCTCTGGAGCAGGAAGTCGTTATAAGCGCAGAGGTGCCTTGCCAGGCGCTAAGACGATCTGTGCGCCATTGTGGGGGGGTGGGAGGCGGAAACAAGAACGCAACCTGCTATTCGCACTTTACTCACTTGGCTTGTTCAGAGTTTCAACTGGCCACCCGTCCCCTTTCCCAGGATACTTGTTGTTGCCATCTGTCTGTCTCGATAGACAATGGAGTGCGCTTCCGGGGGTGAAGTCAAACTGCTGTTTTAGCAGCACCAAAGTGACCTCTCCGGGGCGCAAACCTGGGCAGTGTGTATGGAGGTCCTGGGCTCCCCAGGCAAGACTCCTCTCTTGGCCTCACTGATGTGGTCCAAAAGAGAGCAGAGCAATATGATTGGCACCAGCTTAGCAGCAGGAGTTGCCAAAAGGAGGGATACAAGGCACCATCCAACCATCTTAGGAACTCCATTCTGGGTTAACCTTTTCTTCTCCTAAAGATATCCCACACAGTAGCAGAGGTTTAGACTCAGAGTTTTTCTTCCCAGGTTCCTTCCCAGCTTGATGGGCCCCATCTGTCCCTCACTTCCCTCTACAGCACATACAGAAACCACCTTCTTGACCGTTGGACCCACTATTGCTCCTGCCCGCTCAATCCACCAGAGCCTGTCTTCTCATGCAGGGGAAGTCCCTAAGTCACTGAGAGTTTGAAACCCATCGGCCACCCTCACTTAGCCAGCCAGTCGAAGCCATTTCCTGGGGTGTGATGGCTTTCTCATGTTGGCAGCTTCCATGAGTCATAGGTGACAGCTAAGTGCAGGATGGGGACCAAAGGTGGACAAACCGTTCCTGAAGCACCATGACATGTTCCCCCACCAGAGGTACTGCCCCTCCCCTAATAACCCCCCACCCCACACAAATAATAATACCTGAAGGAGCTTCTCCACCCCCATCGTTCAGCCCAGACACTGAGGTCCAACGCCGAGGGCCTTCTGGCGGTTCCCTCGCTGCAAGAAGCCAAGTCACAGGGAACCAGGCAGAGGGCCTTCTCGGTAGTGGCACCCGCCCTGTGGAACGCCCTCCCACCAGATGTCAAAGAGAAAGCCCTTGGAGCTGAACCTCAGTGTCCGGGCTGAATGATGGGGGTGGAGATGCTCCTTCAGGTATACTGAGCCGAGGCCATTTAGGGCTTTAAAGGTCAGCACCAACACTTTGAATTGTGCCTGAAAACGTATTGGGAGCCACTGTAGGTCTTTCAGGCCCGGTGTTATGTGGTCTCGGCAGCCACTCTCAGTCACCAGTCTAGCTGCCGCATTCTGGATTAGTTGTAGTTTCCGGGTCACCTTCAAAGGTAGCCCCACATAGAGCGCATTGCAGTAGTCCAAGCAGGAGATAACCAGAGCATGCACCACTCTGGCAAGACAGTCCACAGGCAGGTAGGGTCTCAGCCTGCGTACCAGATGGAGCTGGGGATGTGCTTGTGGTGGGCCAGAGCAACGAGGACTTCAAGAGCTGCTCTCAGACTCCAAGGCCTCTCAGACCTTCCTGCAACTGGGCTGGAACCCCAAACCTTGAGCCACTGCATCACTGTGATAACTGTGGAAAGAAAGCAATTCCTTTCTGGATTGTTTTACTGGTGCCTGACCAAAAGAAGTATGCTGTAGTCCTGGACGGTTGTTCCATCCTGGAAGTCCACATTGCCAGCATTTCCATTTTAAGTGTTTATTTATTTTATTGCATTTATATCCCAAGGAACTCAAGTTGGTGAACGTGGTTCTGCCCCATCTCATTTAATCTCCCACAACAACCCTGCAAAGTAGGTTTAGACTGAGAGGCAGTGATGGGCCCAAGGTCATCCACTGAGCTTTATGGCTGAGTGGGGGATTCAAACCCTAGTCTCCCAGGTCACAGCCCAACACTCTAACCACTACACCACACTGACTTTCTTGATAGGAGTTTGCAAGTAACCCAGGGAACAAACTAGCTAAAGCTAAGGATGGTTAAAGGTAAAGGTAAAGGGACCCCTGACCATTAGGTCCAGTCGTGGCCTACTCTGGGGTTGCGGCGCTCATCTCGCTTTATTGCCGAGGGAGCTGGCGTACAGCTTCCGGGTCATGCGTCCAGCATGGCTAAGCCGCTTCTGGCAGTGAACGGAAACGCCGTTAACCTTCCCGCTGGAGTGGTACCTATTTATCTACTTGCACTTCATGCTTCCGAACTGCTAGGTGGGCAGGAGCAGGGACCGAGCAACAGGAGCTCACCCCGTCGCAGGGATTCAAACTGCCGACCTTCTGATCAGCAAGTCCTAGGCTCTGTGGTTTAACCCACAGCACCACCCATGTCCCTTAAGGATAGTTACGTCCATTTAATTTCAGTGGAGGCGAGTGAAGCCTGTCCTTTAGTCTCCCATTGAAATCACCAAGGCGTGCATACACTTAAATTTGGCAGGATTCTGCCTCAGGCTTTGCTAGTGAGCACCTTTGCATTTGGTCTTTTCCGCACACACACACCCTCACCCTTTGGTTTACTGTTTGCCATCTTCACCCTCCTTCTGTTTTGTTTCAACCACACCATTGTTTTATGCATGAGTTTTGGATTTTCTTTCTTTCAGTTGATTTCATTGGTGGATTTGACCCATTCCCTCTCTACCATGTCAATGAAAAGCCCTCCAACCTTTTGTTCAAGCAGACATACCTGTAAGTATGGGCCCCTCCAGACGTCTTTCCGATTGTGCATTCGGGATGATTTGTGCTCAGGATGATAACCGGGGCGGATATATGTGGGCTCTCTGCTTTGTGCCTGCAAAGGTTTCAGGGTGGACATACTGCTCTGTTTCAAATTGGGTTCCCTGCTGGAATCCTGCAACAAATATTCCCAGGTCTGTTTTCATCCTGCTTCTGTTAAGCGATAATGCAAGACTGGCCCTCCAAACATCAGTAACGCTACAACATTGGGGAAACATTGGAGAACAACTTAAAAAGTCGAATGATGTTTGTACACTCCAGTATAAATCCACCACGAATGCCCCATTATGATTGGAGACTGATCATAGCAGGGAGGCCAAGGTAAGAAGGTAAAAGGTAAAGGACCCCTGGGAGGTTAAGTCCAGTCAAAGGCGACTATGGGGTTGCAGCGCTCATCTCACTTTCAGGCCGAGGGAGCCAGCGTTTGTCCACAGACAATTTCCAGGTCATGTGACCAGCATGACTAAACCGCTACTGGCACATGGAGGACTGTGACGAGTGCCAGAGCGCACAGAAACGCCGTTTACCATCCCACTGTAGCAATACCTATTTATCTACTTGCACTGGTGTGCTTTTGAACTGCTAGCTTGGCAGGAACTGTGACAGAGCAACGGGAGCTCACTCCATCGTGGGGATTCGAACCGCCAACCTTCTGATCAGCAAGCCCAAGAGGCTCAGTGGTTTAGACCACAGCACCACCCATGTCCCTACAGGGAGGCCAACAGTAGGTGGAGCCAGAGCTAATTCTTATTTTATGTCCCTCCTCTTCCCTGTTGAGTTCTACAAGGCCAGTGCTAAGACTTAAGGGCTCATCCGGACTGCCTCTTGTTGCAATAACTCCCAAGGCATGGATAGTCTAAGGTTCTCCCTCCAATCCTGGGAGAAGCATATAGCCATCATGACCACAAGAACCTAAGAAGAGCCCAATGGCGCGTCTAGGCCAGCACCCTGTTCTCACAGTGGCCATCCCCTTTCAAGGATGTCAAAGTTGGCGGCCGTCACTACGTCTTGTGGCAGAGAATTCTGTAAGCGAACTGTGCTCAGCGTGAAGAAGTTCTTGCTTTTGTTGCTTCAAAATCTCATTTTGTGACTGGCGCCAACAGTTTGCAAAAATGGCCTGAGGTCAGCTCTTAAAACGCCAGCACCTTTGGGTTTTGTTTTTGTTTTTGGTCCGGAACTGCATTTCCCCCCATTCTGTCACCGTGTTTAGATTGATGAGGCAAGAGATTAAATATTGATTTCCAGCACTGTAGGTTTTGCAAGGAGGGAATATGCAATGCCTCTGGAGGATCCGAGGCAGCGCCTTGATTTACTAATCCAGCAGAAGGAAGCTTAAAGCTGAAGTAGAACAAAATGTACTTGGGGGGGGGGGGTTCTCTTTTGTGTGTGTGTGTGGTTGGGTTGGAGGTGCAGTGTAGATTCAAAGGACAATCCTATGAAGGTCTACATGGAGTAGGAGTGTCCGGGGTCCATGTGTCAGTGGCAAGCTGGACCAGAGACACACAGGGAGGGAGGCTGGGGAGGAGCGTTGTGGCCTGGGGAGATTCCTGAGAGGTAGAACACCACGCATTTTTCTAGTAGTATTAGTAATAAGTAGCATTTTCTGAAGATACACCTCTTTACCCTAGCCTGAGATATGTGCTTCAGGACCCCACCTTATTCTGATTTTAATTCGGAATTTTAAAATGCTGTAACCTTTCCTGGGACATACCAGTGAAAACCAGATGATACATTTTAAAACGATAATACCACCTGCCTAATTAGTGGTACATGCAGGCATGCAGACGAAGAAATATTATACCTCCTGTGTGTGTTGTGAGAGTCCCACAATCGCACAGAAACGTGTTCAGAATTCAGCACCTCAATAACCTCAACCTGCACTTGTTTCTCGGTTGATTGCTGCTTAAAAAGTTACCAGTCCTCAGGACTGCAATTGAGGGGGGCCACGCTGGGTGCACTCTCTGAAAATGGTATGGAGGCTGAGCAGGATTTCCAAGGGACGAGAGGAAGGAGTTTCACTGGCCTGCATAGCTCCTTGACTGCCATCTTTGCCCCTCCCCATGCTCATTCAACACACACATGCTGAATTTACATATTGCATATTTCACATATACATGTTTTTGTTTAAAATATATTTTACATAAAAATTTTCTTTTTAAAAAAAAACAAAGGCAGAATTCAGGGTGTTTGAGGGGTGCGGCAGAGAGAGAAAGGCTCTTTCTATAATATACCATGCCCTGTTAATGCCTTACTTTACTCAATTTAGATACTCTTAGTGGGAGGAGGGTATTCGAGGAAAGGCACCCTGACAACTGCCTTTGAGTATGTGCCATATTCTGAGCTCTCATCCGATGTCTTTCTTTCCTTCCTTCCTTCCTTCCTTCCTTCCTTCCTCCTCCTCCCTCCCTCCCTCCCTCCCTCCCTCCCACTTTCTGCAGGCCTGCGTAAGTGACAAGGATCCAGACTCTGGACAGACTGAAACCATCCATCCAGATTCCCCAAATGCCAGATGTCCCAGATGCAAAAAGATGGGAAACTACATTCCACTTGAAAGAACACAAAAACACTGACACACATGCAGATACGCACATACACAACAAGATGACTGAACTCCGACAAGTGGGCATTCAGGCCCAAATATCGTTTTGCTGGCCAGCCACTCATGCCAATGTCTCTTCAATGTGCTAGCTCATTAGTGGACTTGCAGGTTTTGCTGTGAGTGAATGAATGAATGAATGAATGAGGGAGGAAATACTGTTCCCTTCCCCACACCACTCCATTGAGAATCAGAAGAAGGTATCTGGAGAATCTCCACTTGACTCTGTAGCACTCACCTTTCGTAGGAGCGCCCTTGAGTGCGGTTCACTTCCAAGATATCATTGCTTCCACTTCGTTGTGACAAACGGACTGATCCAGTGGAGACTGGTGCTCATTCAGATAGGTAGGGTGGAAGACAGGGAGGCCAACAGTAGGTGGCGCTAGAGAGCATAGCTGAGCCAATGACTGGCAGGGCCAACTAATTATGCATTTGTCCCTACCATCTTTCTCTACAGTTCTTCCCACTCCCCCAAACTCCAAACCCACTTCAAACTGTTTCACCTTACCGTTTCCCATAATGGACAATGTGTTGGTTGAACTTATAAGTTCCTTGGTGGTGGTTGTTTTTTTAGATGTCATAGGAAAACTATTTAGAACCCAATTCTATGTTATTCTGTCTCTCTGTACCCTCATCCATTAAGGTCTGCAGAGATGTGGAGAACTATGATGTCCTTCAGGCCCAAGCAGGCATGACCAATAGCTAGGGATGATAGGAGCTGTAGTTAAGCTATATCTGGAGGACCAAAGGTTCCATCCATATGGTCTATTGCTTGGGTGGCTACCTGGCAAGCCCCTTTGCTGGATCCATCCTCCAAGACTATTTTTAGCTGGCTTTCAGTGGGCCTACCTCGTTCCAACTGCAATGCTGTACAAAGCTACCCCACGGTTTCAAAAAGGTGGAGGGACATCAAGTTTCTGCACTTGTAACAAGACATCCCACACTTAGTAGATCTCCACAAACATATAGATCGTCCGTGGATATCATGGGCCATGGCAGATTTCTCAAGCCCTTCATGCTAGAAGGATCCCGAGATTGATCTTTGCCCAAATATTTTCTTCATCCTTGTGGTCTTATAAAGGGATTAGATAAATTCATGGGTGGCTTGACAGCAGCTGTCAGTCATGTTGGCATTCCTCCAGGCTCAGAGACAGCTTGCCAGTGAGTTCCAGTTGCTGGGGGGCAGCAGAGAAGACTATTTCCTTCACATCGTGCTTGGGGGCTTTTCAAAGGCCTCTGATCAGCCAGTGTGAGCAAACAGGATGCTCAGCTAGAAGGACTTTTGGATTGACTTAAGCAGAGCTCGGACGTGGGTGGTGCTGTGGGTTAAACCACAGAGCCTAGGACTTGCCGATCAGGTCAGAGTTTCGAATCCCCATGATGGGGTGAGCTCCCGTTGCTTGGTCCTTTCTCCTGCCAACCTAGCAGTTCGAAAGCACATCAATGTGCAAGTAGATAAATAGGTACAGCTCCAGGGGAAAGGTAAATGGCGTCTCCATGCACTGCTCTGGTTCGCCAGAAGCGGCTTAGTCATGCTGGCCACATGACCCGGAAGCTGTATGCCGGCTCCCTCGGCCAATAAAGTGAGATGAGCACCACAAACCCAGAGTCGGCCATGAGTGGACCTAATGGTCAGGGGTCCCTTTACCTTTATGCAGAGCTCATCTTATCCCATTGTCTACAGAAAAAGTCACGTGCCACATATATTGCGGCTGAGAGTTTTCTCCTGTTCTTTCGCTTCCTTATAGCAGCCTCCTCCCCAAACCAATGGCTCCATCTCCCACCCTGCACTGCTTCCCCTTCTTTACAATTCACACCTACTCCATGCCATGTCTACCTGCTGCCTTCCATCCTCATCCCAGAACACAGTCCCACGCTGAAGCTGCCCTCAGGTCTCCTTCAGCCGTCAATACCACTTTTTAGCTTCCCTCTCTCCCCCCCCCCCACAATTATTACTTTTTGGATCCCATGGATGCAGAGCAGAACATTTTCTGGTTAACACACACATGCACATTCTCCTACATCCGCTCTCTCTCGATTTGAGATCATGCCCACCGACAATGCCCTTTGTGCTAAACAGGGGCGGGAAGTCGATTTTATTACACAACTTGACCACTTGCGAAGGTCTGAGCTCTGGACTGTTGTCTGCAAAACCAAGTGGCCTTTTGAGAATACTGATGCATAGCAAGGCGGCAAGTGTTTCCAGCAAAAGGGCGCCTCTCTGCAGAATTGTTCCTTCTGCTGTGATGCTAAGACCCTGCATCTGTCATAGGCAACCCACATGTGCCTTTAAAAATAAAAAGTTCATCTGCAACAGTCATATCGCAAGGACTTTCCAGATGCTAAAAAGGAGAAAGGAAGACACTTGTTCTTAACATTCTTCTCTGGGGTTGAGAAGCCAGGCGACCGATGCTCAAATATGACATTGTGTGAATCGGATTGTGGGCTACCTAAGAGCCAAGTCAAGTTTCAGGACTCCCTTCTTCCCAGCCTTGCAAGATAGCTATGCCCTGCCTCTGCCACAGCTGGAGGCAGGGATGCTTCTGAAAACCAGTTGCTGGAAACCACAAGAGGGTACAGTTACTCATGTCCTCATGTCCTGCTCTCCGGTTTCCCACAGGGATTATGGTTGGACACTGTGAGAACTGGATGCTGGACTAGACGGGCCATTGGCCTGATCCAGCAGGCTCTTCTTATGTTCTTAAGAGCGAAGATCCACACGTGTGTCCACAGCCCACATTCACAGGCAGACAGCTTCTGCCCTCTCCCCTCTCCATTAAGCCATATAACCTATAGGGTTATGCTAGTGACCATCAGCCATGACTTGCATCATGCCTGCACCTCTGAAGAGGACCACAATGGTCCAAGGAGAAAGCACGAAGGAAACACACAAGCAAATCATCGTAGTGGCACAGGACGCAAGGGTGCCAAGGATCGGGACCACCATTCAGCCCATTGCGTTGGTTTGGTTGAGCAGACATTTCCATGTGATCTGGCCTGGTGATCTGTGAAGGGCTCCATGGTGGAGTCCTCTAGAAGACAGTAGGAGGTTTTGGTTCGTTTGTTTTTAATTAGCATGATTCTCTGTTCTTTGTTACTGTTCTAATAAATTAATGCTTTAAATACACAAACCTTATTTGACTTGTCCATCACTCAAGTGTTTTTTGATCAGACATCACAGATATTGTCTTCTCCTATTCCCCTCCAGGACGGTGACAATCCTGTTCTCCATAGCACAGCTGAGAGGGAATAATTGCTAGAGAGGGGAGGAGGCAGATATATTGCCATTTGCAATTTTTTCTCTGATTGGAAATAAGGCTAGATGAGGATTCTGGAATCACCTTGCCACACAGCCAAATCATTTCTGTAAACATCCTCAGTTGAGCTCAGTTCAAAATCAGTTTGGTATTTACTAGCTTTCTTGGATAATTCTCAGGGTGGGGGTGGGGATTCACCTTTCCCCCAAACGCTCTGTTGGCTGATGAGTGATGATGGCACATGGGCATCTCATTACATTGCCCCTTGGAAATTGTAGTTTTCAATGCACCCTTCAAAAAATAACAACATACCAGGGAACAAAATTATGTTATCAGTGCTTCTACCCTCCCCCCAAGGATCTCAGGGGCCTCTCCCCTTTGGAAAACACCTGGTGAGCTCTTCCCTTGGATGAGTTTAAAACTTTTCTCATCCTCAGAGCCCTTCTGAAATCTGTCCATTTAATCAGCCTTGTTTCCCCCTTAATCCCTCTATCACAGTCCGTGTAGACCAGTGGTGGCCAAACTTGGCCCTCCAGCTGTTTTTGGACTACAACTCCCATCATCCCTAGCTAACAGGACCAGTGGTCAGGGATGATGGGAACTGTAGTCCCAAAACAGCTGGAGGGCCATGTTTGGCCACCAGTGGCGTAGACAATACTGAGCTCTGTGGACCATTGGTCCAACTCTATATAAGGCAACTTCAGTCAACCTTTTCCCTCATTGACTCACCACTGAGGTGGCTAGGCCCAGAGTTGCATCCTTTTCCTGTACCCTAAGCTGCTATAGAAGGGACATGGGTGGCGCTGTGGGTTAAACCACAGAGCCTAGGACTTGCTGATCAGAAGGTCGGCAGTTCGAATCCCCACGATGGGGTGAGCTCCTGTTGCTCAGTCCCTGCTCCTGCCAACCTAGCAGTTCGAAAGCACGTCAAAGTGCAAGTAGATAAATAGGTACCGCTCCGGCGGGAAGGTAAACGGTGTTTCTGTGCGCTACTCTGGTTCTCCAGAGCGGCTTAGTCATGCTGGCCACATGACCTGGAAGCTGTACTCTGGCTCCCTCGGCCAATAAAGCAAGATGAGCACCGCAACCCCAGAGTCGGCCACGACTGGACCTAATGGTCAGGGGTCCCTTTACCTTTTAAAGCTGCTATAGAGCAAAGGTTGCCCATAGTCTAGGTCTTTACTCCTTTCATTTTCTGCTACTCCTCCATCCTTGATCTTTTCCTACTTGGGACCCTCGCTAAATGTGCCACCCACGATGCCTTGATCCTTCTGGCTTATTGAGTGTCTCTCCTCCTCATGAGGGGAGGTCTTCTAGTCTATCTGCCTCTCTCCAAAGCTGACCATTGAGCTGGTAATCAGGGAGCTGTTGCCGCAGCCACTCCTGGCAGGGTTCTAAACCCGGTTGAGGAAATAAGAGAATTGGCCCAAATGGAGGACAGACTCGCCAATCAGCAAGCTGTTTCTGATCAGGTGGTCTGGGCACGTTGCTTCTCAACTAGCAAGCCAGAGTCAGGAGCCAATATGAAATATGATTGTGCAGTCATCTACAGAACAGCTTCATGAAGCTGAATGCTGGCTGATGCTTGATGAGCAATGTCTCATTTTGTACTCTAAATATGAAACTCCCTAATTTGCAGTTCCTCAAGCAATATGCGAACACAGACATGCTTCCAATTTTGCACTTCTAATTTTACTGTACGGTTCTCCAACCCAACGATACACAGAATGATGTGTGCATTAGGGGGAAGCACGCATACGAACATAACAGACTAAGTTGCGGGAAATTGCTTTGGAAAAAATGTAT